GGAGGGACTACAAGGTTGTTTCTGTTCAAAATTTTCTAAGTTTTTGGGTTTCCAAAAAACTACATACAGCAGCTTTAAAGACACGTCACAGAGGTGTTTCTGGTACCAAAAGCTGTTTCTGGTCCCAAAAGCTGTTTCTGGTCCCCACCTGTCGTTTTGCTCCTCAGCATGGCTTCATAAAAACACAGCAGGATTTCTCAAACATGATGAATGAGTCAGAGCAAGGCTTTGGGCATGTTTTTATGGGAGTATAACATTATAACATGATATAAAACTCAAAAAAGGTGATTTTACATGATATTGCCCCTTTAATTGTAAACCTTGTGACGGTGAAGGAATACAAATACTAAATTTACCAAAAAAACAACCTAAAATCATCATTTGAGAATCAAGCAAATAAAAATAATTTTAGGAATCCTAACTTACCTAGAACAAAAAGTTTAGTCTGATTTGATATAGGCTGTATTTATTTTTAAAGAAAATGTGAAAGTTGGTTTACACTCAGTCAAGTTAAGTGTACAATTTCTACTCAACGGAGGTAAATAAATCCAACACATATTAGAGTTATAGACCCACCTAAAATAATGAGCAAAACACAACTTATCAAATAAGTTCACCTTAAGAAAAATTCTCAGGTACTGGAGTTAAATAATGGATTCACAGGTGTTGATTTGCAGACACTGAGCCCAGGGGGTGTGGGCCATAGGGTCCAACAGCTGACTCACTGCATGTGTTGTGGTGTGGTCTGAGCATGTGTGCAAATGCTTATGAGAACGCACATGTAGCTGAGTTGCTTATTCACAGCAGAATGACGCATTTTGTTAAGACGCTCGTTTGAAGCCGCCCACACAGGACAGGCTGTGGTGCTCCTGCTGGGGGATTATGCAGGTTAACCTGGGAGTACAATGTGTAGCCGGTGGCTAATGCCTTCTAAAAGAGATTGGCAGCTTACGGCTGTAGACGGCTCCATGAAAACATCCACGACTCCAGCAAGAGTGATCATCAGAACAGCTACAGGAACTCAAATGTTGAGAAATTTGTAGTTTGAGGAAAAAGCAGTGGTCTTGTTGAATGTCTGCCTGAAAAGAGGAAACACTTGTTTTCTTGTGGAGTTTGACGTAAATTCGACTTGGTAAAGGGCAGCTTGTGCAAGAAAAATCATTATGCAAAAATGTTTTTGGACTTCAGCGGTAAAATGGTAAGAAGTGTTCTTGCTGTGTTATGTGCACACTGTGTGTGTGTGTGTGTGATTCACACATGGTCATGTTTCCACTGTTTGTTCTGCAGGTTTCAGCCACAGAAGAATGTGTAGGCCCGATGAGACTGACTAAAGAGCCGATTCAGGTAGGACTGTTTGATAACATTAAGCTTTTAAACTGTTTGGAACATATTTGAAAGGACTGAAAAATATGTTTCTCTCTGTTTTGTTAAGTTTCCTGAATAACTGTAGTTATGCTTTTTATTTTTGCTAAATTTTATATTTTGTCTACATCATATAATTACAGCATGTTGCTTTTTTGCATAAAACACATGGTTACAGAAGATACGTACCATAGAGCAGAGGTTCTCAAACTGGGGTCTGCGACAGGTATATTCGGGGGTCCTCAAAAATTTTTACTAAAATGTTAATTTGGTTTTTATTTTTAAAAATGCATGGAGAACAATAAACTAATAAAACTAACACAATAAACTCAATAAAAATATATATTTCCATGGCATTTAGGGGTTGAAATGACAATAAATTATCTTTTAAAACAGCGAGGGGGTTTATGAGGGGGTCTCTGGAATTTTTTTCACCCTTGTAAGGGGTCCTCAGACCCAAATGGCTCTTGACCTTTTTGACCTCAGGGCCCAATTTGTTCAACATAAAGTGACACGAGGCCCAGTCAGACATTACCATATGGATCAAAATGATAATTATTATAAATCTTGGTTTAATTTTTATTGTATTTACATCATAACTAAATTAAATACACTTAACAGTTTAAAAGTAAAACTCCTGTCAAATAATCAGAAAACATGATTATAACAAACATTTTATATTGTAACCTGCCCATAACTATTATTTGAAATAATACAACAGTCAGTCAACAGACCACTCAGGCTTATCAACATAAAAATATATGTTTTTAACATAAACAATAACAAAAATAGACAATTCAATAAATGAAATTGTGATCATAAAATAAATACATTCAAAAATATTTAATGTAAATGTTCCAAATAAAAATTAATAAAAATAAATTTGATAAAGTGCAAAGGAAAATATAGCCTTTTTAAAAATTTTGCACGGTAGAACCAGAGGCTGCTCTTCTTATTAGTGACAAACAATAAGAGTAACAACAGCTTTTTGACAAAATGTTTACAAATAAACTACAAAATTTAATTTAAATTGCAAATTAAAATATAGTTGTATCTACAACTGTATTTGATAATGTTTTGAACTTTTAAAATATTTCATGGTAAAAACAGAAGCTGCTCTTCATATTAGTGACAAACTTTGGTGTTTTTGATGAGTTACTTTCATTTTTGTTTCTACTTTTCATTTAAAATAAGTTTCCATTCTCAGCAGGTTTCTAAGGTTCTTCTTCTACATATTAAAAAGTTGTTAAACATCTGAGTGGTGCACTACTGCTACTAGTGGTGAGAAAGTGTATTACACCTTATTTAAAATCAATGTGGTCCCACGGCCCTCTGCGGCCCAAAGTTAAAAACTGTTGTTCTTTTCAGGCCCTCAAGGTGGCGCTTTGCTGCGGCCCACAGGTTAAGAATCTCTGCCCTTGAGCAGTGTTTCCCAAAGTTGGGGTCGGGACCCACAATGGGGTCCGGAAACATCAAGTTGGGGTCCTGAAAAGATTTTCAGAATTTATTACATTTTTACCTTAGATGTTACAAAGGAGTGAGGTTAGTGTATTTAAAATGGRTAAATTTAGTATAAAATATTGTTACTATGCCCATGTTTAGTTGACCTGATACAAATGTTTATCATCCAGAAACAGTTGGGGGCTCAGGTCTCTACTGTTATTTTGTGGGTCAAAAGCTGAAAAGTTTGGGAACCACTGCACTTTGGTTCCCAAAGTTGGGCTTGGGACCCAATTATGAGTCATGAAGCACCTTGGATAATCTCCAGAAATCAATTTAAAGGGTCATAAAATAATTGCTGATGTAATATTTTCCCTATAAATATTACAAAAACCCAAAATAAGTATAAATAAGTATTTATATTTGTGTACAAGCTGTTTAGATTGTCAAAAAACCTGTGTTTTTAGGGTTATTAACAAAGTTCATGTACTCAGACCAGTAATATTTGGGGTCACAAGTTTTTGCCATGGATATTTTGTGGGTCAGAAGATAAAAAGTTTGGGAACCACTGCCCCAGAGGATGGTATTTAATAATCCTTTTTATCTAGAAGTTTCTATTCCTCACAAAGTTCTTTTAATAAGCCAGTGAACTAAACATACTAAGATTAGTTCACTTTGGGACTTGGGGTGTTTTTTTTATTTATGTGACTTCTTTAGTTTACTGGGTAAAAAGCTGAACCACATAATTAGTTGGAACAACTGTTTGTGTTGGAGCCGTCTGGCTGGGACATGCTGCACATCCAGCAGTCTGGTTAAAACAAAGTACATTATAGTAATGTCAGGAGAATTTCTCTCATAGTTATTTTTTCAGATTTTAATCAAAAGAGGTAAGCCTGTTTTGTGAAAGAATTTCTCACTCTTCTAAATGCCAACTATGATTGAATTTGTATCTCACATTTAAACCATTACAATCCAGGTCTGGGTCTAGTTTGTGAACATTTTTCTGGACTGACTTTACTTTACATGAATGTGGTTTCAGAGACTGTTTGTTTGTTAGGAAAGCAGGGTCTGCAGTCAGTGTGTGTCTGTTGTGTACGTTCAGAGGGGATAAATACTGCTCTGGTTAGAGATTAGATGTGCTGAAGATTTGTTCTTATGTAACTGAGAATGTAAGAGGTTCTGGAGATTATTGGCTCTTTGAAAAGTAGGTCTAGGTGATTGGATGAATATTCCAACCATGAGCAAATACAATCCATCAAGTGGTCATTTTTTAAGAATGATATTTCATGTTTTATTTGAGCTGAATCTGAGTTTTCATTTGTAAATGTCTATCCAGTTTGTTTTTGTAAAACTGTTTGCAGTTCATGTTTTCCCTGCAACAACACCTCTTTCTGACAGATGTTGGTCCAGATTAAAACTGGACCCAGACAGTTTCAGAACCGTTGTGGTTAGCTGCTTTCATTTCATTGCTCAGCAGTAAGATTCATGATTTATTCTTTCAAATTAGCAACAAGTTTGGTGAAAATTTATTCTCATCAATTTTGCAATCTAGGCAGTTTTACAGTCAGCTGTTAAAAACAACTTGTCATGTTTTTGTAAAATAGGGCCCAAGGGTGCAGATTTACACGTAGACTCTAAAAAGATTTAATAATAAAGCCAAAAAGGCCAATGTGGCAGCAAAATGAAAAACACAGAGGAACAAAACTGTAAGGAACACACGAGAAACAAATCAATAAGATGGACTGAGGACAGAATGCAAATATATAACTAGGGCTGTCAAATGATTAAAACTTTTATTCTATTAATTCCAAGGTAGCTGTGAATTAATCATGATTAATCTTAAAATTAATATAAAACTTTATTGCATATTGGTAAAATAAATTACTTGAGTTATTAATTAATGTTATATTTAGAAAAAAAATTGGTGCTTAGACATGAATTTTTGAATATAAAACAGGACCTAAAACTGCTCCAAACATATTTGAGTCAGTTAAATTTTATGCAGAATAATGAGGTTAAATCAAGAATTCAAGGAGTTTAATTCCAAATGAGTAAAGATAGATAATAAGGTCACAGTTGTCAGCAAAACATAAATAAATAAAATAAAATAAGTCATAAGAAGACAAAAAGAAAAAAAACTGTATATAATGTGTTACACATGGAGTTTTTTTATTTAACCTTTATTTCTGCAGGTAAACTGTTTGAGAACCACTTCTCATTTACAAACATGACCTGACATGATGCACTGAGTGCATTGTAATATACAAACCTACAGATTCAGACAGAGTAACGTGATTGTAAATTTTAACCACAATTAAAATGTTTAATCTATGCCCATGCAGCACTAAAATTAATCAGAGTTAACTCGATTAATTTCACAGCCCTAATATATAACATAAATACTGAGAAAAAGGGAGGTCAGTGGCAACAGCTGAGTCTAATAAATACAAGGAACAGGTTTGAGATGAGGGGCAGGGCTGGAATACAAGGAGAAGACAAATAACAGGAAAACACTGAGAAATAAACTGAACACAAATAACCTTTAAAATAAAAACAAGATAAAACTGAACAAAAATCAGCAGAAAGGACAGATAATGATACAGACTGTCCAACGAATGAGTCCAACTTGCTTGTTTTAATTATATAATAATAATAATAATAATAATAATAATTTTATTTTACTGAAAACTGTCCTGTGACAGTTGCCTCTTGCTCCTTGAGGAGCTCACATTTGTAGGACACCAAAGATGGAAGGACTTGATGGATTTAAAACCTTTTTTGTCTGTGCTTATTGACTGTTATTCACCTGCTGCATTAAGATTCTGTCCAAATCACTGAAGCCATGACTGAACTGACACTGACTGTGGAGGAACCTGTCCTCCTCCACCTCTGTGGAGGTAACTTCCTTTCTCTATTATTCAACCAAACAACAAGCATCTTCAATCAAAAAATAATTTCAACCAAACAAAAAAAGCAATTTCAATAAAAAAATTAAAATAAAAAACAATCAAAACATTTTTTGCAAAACAGAAACTTTTGGTCAAAGCTCAAACTTTTGGTTGACTCTAAGGGTGTATTCAGACCAGGAAAGTCCTTTGGTCCAATTGTTTGGTCCGGACCAAAAATGGACTTTATTTTTTTCGTTTGGTGCGGTTTGTATTCACATTGTGCTTTTTTGCAAATGAACTATAACTTGTAAACAAAGCCACGAGGCTGACGATCATTGCTCCCATTGGACAAAAAAAGGATGGGGGCGGGACTGAGCCACAGACCCAGAAGAAAACAGGAAGTCCTGCATGTTGCAGTTCTGATGCACACATTTTTGCTGATAGTACAACTGTAATAGCATTTAAAATGTCAGAAGCAGCTAATTTAATGGTGGTTCTGTGATGATATTCTAATTTTGGAGCGGTGTCAGTAAATGTGTCCCGCGACCCAAAGGAGACGAGGTGCTCTGTGTGTTCTGACCCACAACATGCTGCAGCAGAGCTGCTAACAGGAGACGATGAAACAGGTATGATTTCAGTTTATTTAGCTCCGCA